TAATTAAATATGCAGAAACGAACGCCGCCTCCGTTGTTTAAAAATGGTATCGCACACGATAGGCCTTTCGCACGAGGCGAATTTTCAGGTAACTTGCGTTCAACTTACGCAGGGTTGCACGAAGAAAAAAATTGAATGGCTAAAAATATCTAAAATATATCATGATTTAATAATTGAATCATGAAAATATATGAAAATATAAAAAAATATCAAAGTATAAAAAAAATCAAAATATAAACAAATATCAAGATATAAAAAAATATCACAATGTAAAAATATATCAAAATATTCGCCATAAAAAGACGTTTGCATTGTTCAACTTTGCATTCTACTTTTGGTTGAACGGCCTTTCAACTAATCGCTTTCAACAAAGTTGGTCGCCAGCCAGCATTTAGGGCCGGTTACTCAATGTCTGGTTAACACTAATCTGCGGTTAATCATCGTTATCGACGTCTCAGACTGCTTGCATAAAACAGGAAGTCTGTAACGTCGATAAGTATGGGCTTGTTCGAGTTGCAATCACAACCGCAGTGTTGCGCGAACCATTAAAGTATCACGTTCGGTGTTAATTTCTAGGAACGTTTTATCAGTTGGGCAGTTGCAACAGTGTTGCAAATTTTCATCAGTGCGGCAGTAATGCCGCCTTTATAACGTGCTTCGAACAGGCCCTATGTTTAATCTGATATAAGTGTAAACCAGACGTTGGGCCCCTATTGCGAGTGTCGACTGACAGAATAGAAATTTGTCGATCGAGTCGATCATCTTTTATTTTGCTAGTAGCCCTATTCTGCATTTCGATTCGAATCGAAATTTTCTCCGTTTAGCAACTTTGCTATTCTGCGAAATTTACGATTATACATATTCTACATTTCGATCGGAGTTCTGTTTTTCTAAGTTGCAAATTTGTTGACGGAGAACTTTTCGATTGTTATTTTCGTGGGTTTAAATAAAATTTTATAAAAAAAATTAAGTAAAATATACTGTGCATGATTGTAAGTCATCATAAATGAATTTTCTCTATTTCTGTGTTTTCGCAGCGGTAATACGGGCAATACGAAAAATTGGCAATATTAGCAACCAAAAGGGATATTGCGCGAGCTTTTCAAAGAGGAATCGCGGGCGTTTTTGTTTTCATTATCTAACTGAATACAATTTATTCTTTGTATATAAAATTAATAGATGTACATACATACATACATACCACAGTATACACCCACTAGAACTTGAAGGGAGATCTCCCTATGTGAGGAATAAAAGAGTACTCCCCTTAACCTGATTTCTGAGCAATAAGGGAGATTTGGGGAAATGTTTAGTAGCGCTCACATCGTTTTTGCGGTGGTGGGCGGAGGGGGAGGGGGCGGTGCCCCCCAAACCGCCCCCACTAGAAAGGGGCCAGTCCCCGCTTTCTAACAAGGCGTATACCCCCTTGGGCTCCTCCCACAGGCCCCTAGGGAACCGTTTGAAAAAGGGAGAAAAACGGAATTTTCTTAGGCAAACTGAGCAGTTTGAAGTGGAATATGACCCAACTAACAGAAACCGTGGGATTTTTTAATAAAAGAAATTATGCCAAATTAGATATCGGGCGATTTTGAATAAAGAATAAAAAAGTTTATTAAAAATAGAAAAAACAAGTTTATATAAAAAAAATGTTCTCTTTAACAAATGTATTTTTGCGTAGAATTTCTTTCTGCGTGGGCGGCCTTCGGCCGCACTTGGGGATTATAACCCTCAGGCAGTAGAATTCTCCTTTCTGTGTTGCCAAAGAAAGGGAGCTGAACACCTTTTGCAGAGAACACCTTTCTGCGTAGACGGCCTTCGGCCGCACTTAGGGATTATAACCCTCAGGCAGTAGAATTCTCCTTTCTGTGTTGCAAAAGAAGGGAGGCTGAACACCTTTTACAGAGAACACCTTTCTGCGTAGGCGGCCTTCGGCCGCACTTAGGGATTATAACCCTCAGGCAGTAGAATTCTCCTTTCTGTGTTGCCAAAGAAGGGAGGCTGAACACCTTTTACAGAGAACACCTTTTACAGAGAACACCTTTCTGCGTAGGCGGCCTTCGGCCGCACTTAGGCATTATAACCCTCAGGCAATAGAATTCTCCTTTCTGTTTTTCGAAGAAAAGGAGCTGTTAAAATAAAGCGTGGATCCTTGACTACAAGGGTGTGTAATTTTTTTTTGGATCGGACCACCCCTATGGACGGAATTTCCCGAAATAGTTGTGAGCGCTACTAAACCCCACCCGAGATTTGTCGGTTTTGTACTCCTTTATTACTCGTCTAGGAATCATATAGATCTCCTAAGCGAGCGACGAAATATTCCGTGAGGCATGATTTTGGACCAATAAACGAGATTTGTCGGTTTTGTCCTAATGTATTGCTCGCTTAGGAGCGTAATGAGAGATCTCCTAAGCGAGCAATTAAAGAATGCTCCCTGAGGCATGATTTGGGAGCAATAAGCGAGATTTGTCGGTTTTGTACACTGTTATTACTCGTTTAGGATTAAAAAGTGATGTCTCCTAAGCGAGAAATCCAACAGTATTATTTTTGATTGATAGGAGAGCAATACGCACCTCGTTCAAAAGAAATTTTGTGTTTTCAGAAAAATTCATCATAGAAAAAAAACCAACAGAAAATATTTCTTATAGACGCATAAGGAGGACAATAATCTAATTTGGATAGCGCACAGATTTTAATAAAAGTCCGTTGGTATGTACTAGAGATGGGCACGGGCCTAAATTTTCAGGCCCGGCCCGGCACGAGTGCAAAATCAACTTTCAAAAACACGCATAAGCCCGCACGTTAAGAATTTTAGTGGGGCCCGGCCCGGCACGACGGTACACGCTCCATGGAGTTTTGGTGTTGCCGTACGCTCTAGAAAATTTATTAGAAGGTGAAATTAATGGCACGCTACCGGGTTCACTATACGCCGAAGAATTGAGTATTTATATTTTGTGCGGCGAACAGTAACCCAAAACAAGGTGCAATCCCGTATTCCTCGGACTAGGACTATTAAAACTGTCAACAAATAAAAATTCGCTCAGAGCGAGAGGGTAACATTGAAAAGCACGGGATCGCTTTCTAGTAAAAAATGGTAACTTCTGTCAACTTCGACATAACCTCCTAATTTTGGTTGTAAATTTTTGCTTGTTTTGTATGTAAACACACTCAGCTCACACATGTAAATAACCAAAAATACTTTAAAATTCATTAGAATCCACTTAAACAAGTAATTAAATACTTTGCAACATGAATTAGCAGAGTGCACTTTTCCTTTGTTTACAATTTGGTTGCCAAACAAACTACAGCTGATCGTTTGACACATTTACCAGAATTTACCAGCAAAAAATTCTCGGACTAAAACTGGTAACTTCTGACAGAGAGAGAACCGTATTTCTCTCTTTTTTGTCCTCTCAATAGGCAGAGAACCGAGTACGGGATCGATTTCCAGTAAAAGCTGACTGATTCTGACTAGTCCGGACTCGTACGGGATCGCAACTATTGAATCATGCTTGCGAGTTAGGGAACGCAACTATTATTGAATCATGCTCACTGACCTTAAACTTCAGTAGTTGTGGCTCTGGTAAAACAACGTCAATATTTTGGATTTGTTGATGAGAAATTAGAAAATTATTGGTAATTTAATTGTATATTAAACAAGGAGGAGATCCTTGCTTTCAACTTTAAAAGTTCATTAACGCAAATAGAACTTTTGTTTGTAAACAATGCCGAAAATTGAGAAAGTGAAAGTAAACGTTAAGGAGCGGGTGGACGACAATGTTTGTGATTTGAGCTTGAGCGGTATTAGCGAGATTCCAGTGCGTGAAATTGTAAGTAATTTAAAAGTTGAATTCGCAAGTTTTCCCTGCAATGCACTTCCCTACGTAAATACCACTTTGGATGTTTGTTGGAGTTATATCTCAAAAAATCGATGAAAGTTTCACTTTTTATTTATCCCCAAACCTTCTCTTTCCTATGTGCATACATGAAAATGTATGTATGATTGTAGAAGATTGGGTATACATATATGTACATGAAGTTATATCCACCCTTCTTTTGGCTGGCCGTAGTGAATTATTTTCCACCCAAATTAGGGGTGCGTTCATGTGGTTTTGCTTCTAGCACACGAGTAGTTGGTCTCGTTGAAATCCATGTGTGACACTTTCTTGAATATGATATAAAAAATGTGTAATAACTTTCCTACTCTTTGTTTTTAGGCTTCCTTTAAACGAGTTAGTGTGCTGGATCTATCAAGTAACTGTATCACCTCTTTGGGAGTAAGTTGATTAAAAAATTTAATGCATTTGTCAATTTAATTGCTATAAATTTAAATATATTCAGGGAGGTTCTGCAATTCACTTCAAAGTGAATTTCAATCAAATTAGCCTTGAATTGAAATTTGCGGTTGAAATTCACTCAGAAGTAGGAATGTTTGATATTTAAGAAAGTATCGATATGAATCCATTGCACGTAAAATAGATATGGCGATATATCAGGCTGAACAATATCGATATCGGAAATATCGATGTTGAAAATACTACTCAAAAAGCACAAAAAACTTGGGGAAAAAGCGTTTTACCACACTCAATCAATGGATGCTTTTTTCATAACAGTTTGTATGTAGTTAACAAAAAAAATTAACAATATTTACAAGAATGCATACATAAATCACAAAACTTTTTGGTTCATAACGATTGAAAGGCCACATGCTATAATGACTCACGACGTAATACCGAAGTACTGCACATTAAAACTGATATATCTCAAGAAAGAAAAATCGAATCCCAACGAACGAAAATCATGCTTTAAGTAGAAATGAGCAAAACAAAATTTATGTTTTCATTACATTACATTAGGATATCTCAATTAAAAATTATTTCAGGTTTTAACTATATCGGAGTAATCTTAGATCAGAAAAAAACACTAAAAAGGCACTAGGCAATAAATAGTATTTTTTTGCGTTTTAATTTTCAAAAATCACTAAATCTACCTCAGAAGTGAATTGCAGAACCTGCCTGATATAATATATACGTACATATCGCACACCGTCTTCAAAAGAGTCACAACTCAAAATAATACGTTCGTCAGAAAATGCGAAAAACTATTTCGTAGCACATGCTAATCATATGGTCAATGGCGACTTAACCTTAGGTTTTTTTTAACAAATTGTAACAAACATTTGCTCCAGCTTTTGCTGAAAGGTAAATAAAAGCTCTGTGTACACTTTTAGCGCATAATTTCAAAAATGTCAAATTTTGAGTTGTGACTCTTTTGAAGACGGTGTGCGATATGTATGTTCACTCATGTACGGTCACTCCAGCATCACTCCCAAAAACTCTTTGGTAATTTTTATGCTGCTACAACAAAAAAACAAAAAAACAAAATAGGTATAATTAAGGCATATTAACATTTATGACGTTTTCCGCTTTTACATGGAATAACCTTGATTTTAAAACTGCAATTTTTTTCAGGAATCATGATCTATATTTTATTATTATTTATTTTTAGAAAAGTTTCCTTACGCTCATACGGCTCGTCAAACTCGATCTTAGCAAAAATCAAATCCGGTATTTACCAGAAGAGTTTGGTTTGCTTCGTAATTTGCGTCATTTGGACTTGTATGACAATAAGTTGGAGCATCTACCTCTAAGTTTTGGTTATTTAACAAACTTGCGATACTTGGATTTGAAAGGAAACCCCTTAACACCCGCTCTGGCAAAAGTAGTTGGGTTTTGTCTCACTACGAAAGAATGCCAGGATTCAGCCAAAAACACTGTTAGCCCTTAGACCTGTGTATGCACAGTTATTAATTTATTATATTTTCTAGGTGAAATTCTTGGCTCGAATGCAAGCTGAAGCTGAAAAGGCTAAACAACAATTTCAACTTCAGGCGCTAAACACTACTGCGGCTTTTAGTGATTACATTAGCACCGAAGAAAAACCACTTGAAAATCAAAAATCAAAAAAGTCAGCTAAGAAAGCTAAATCAAAGTCAAAAAAATCCACCGCACACAACAATAATAATGATATAAGCCATGAAGTAAACATTGCACCAGTAAACGTTAATAATAAGACAACCAAGTCAAGAAAGAATGCAAATGGGCCAACGAAAAAGTCCATCTCGAAATCCAGCACAGCACTTACCACAGTTTTCACGTTTTTCATGCTACT